CTCTCTTGGCTACAGCTGCCCCCACTCTGCTGTGATCTTCTGGAGAGGGTGTGTCCCCTCCTCATCAACACTGAGGATGATCTTTCTTTTCAAAAAATATTTTTCTAACTCGTAAGAGAGTCTGCTGTACCATGGTTAAGAGCAGCCTATTAACATCAGAAAAACACGGATTCTAATCTTGGCTCTGATGGTCTCGATGCCTCTGCCTTGACCTTGGACAATAGAAGTAACAGTACGCAGGGGGTGTCCAAGGGAGAGAATGTAGTCACGGGTTCTCAGATTCTGTTTCTGGTTATGTCAGTAAAGCCCTTTTCTCATCCCTCTTTTCCGCTTACCACTAGAGACAGAGACTAAAACCCATGGCTTCCGGCGCTAAAAGCCTAAAACAAAACATAACAGAACAACAACAACAGAATTAGGCGGGTTGGACAAGCCCGGAAGAGTCTTTTTGGGAATAGCATGCTGTTTGGGTTGGACCAGAGCGCCTAGCTCATGGCAGGGTATGGCACGTCAAGACTGAGCTGCCACCTTTTTTATTATTAATTTGTGAGGTTATGCATTTCTCAAACATTAACTGTTTGTGTTTCTTCTTTGATGAATTGCCTGCTTGTGCCCCTTCCTCGTTTGGCAGTTGGCAGTTTGATTTTATGGTATGTTTAAGTCAAGGACTAAGAGCATTTTGGAAGCGTCTAAATGAAGAAAGAGGTGCGGAGTGGAGGTCTTCATCCCTGCAAGTCTAATGCCTTTTTTCCCCCCGAGGAGCGTTTTCCACTGGTTAGTGCAGCCTCTCCTCTGCCTACCACTGGCCCAGCTTCTTCCCTCAGAAAATTACATCTGCTTTATAGAGTCAATCTTTAGAATAGCTGGTTTCCCTCCTGGATGGCTGCACCTACAGGTTTCACATGCATGATTTCTTTCTCTGCCTATTTAGGTTGCATTCTGTGGGGATGACTGTGACTGTGACCAGTGTGCTCAGAGAGGCTCTAGTCGAGTGTGTGAATATTTAACAAGTGTGCCCTTCTCAGCCCCGTGCAGTCACACAGCCCACCAAAGCGCTAACCCTTCTGAGTAAAGTGCAAAAGCCAAGGGGCTGCTTAAATAAAAGGCACATTCTTCGGAGAGCTGAGCCTCTTTTCCCCTCTGGCCTAGCCCCCAGCTTGCTGGACTTGGACAGTTCATCTCTTTTCCATCATGGGGCTGAAGGGACCTGGGCCACAGAAGCTGAGCATTTCTAAACTGCAAAAGGAGCCAGACCTCCCTCCAGTCCTGTGATTCTTGTCAGGAAAGTTCTTGTGGACAAATGTGTTTGGTTCAGGAGATGGCCTGCGGGCTTGGTAGGAGCATAAAGCTGGCTGCCGGGCTTAAGACATACGTCTTAGTGAGGCATAGGGATGGGGGATGCTGGTATCCCGGACATGGCAAAACCATGGGAGAAATCCCCCCCCGCAAAAGCACAGATTCCTCTAGAGAAAGTGGCTGTGACTTCTCATGAAGACCTTCCCTCAAGGTGAGGCCACCTTGTGCCTGGACAGCGCCAGCACTGAAGCTTGTGTCCTGCTATTTGCATGTCCTCTGGATTTGCCTGTGTGCCCGGTTCAGAGCATGTGGTTTAGCAGAAAAAGTGTTGGACTGGGAAACGGACTATATGGGTTTGAGTTGAGGTTTTGCCCTTTTTTTTTCTTTTTCTTTTTCTCTGTAACCTTGGGAACAGACTATTTCCTCATTTGGAAAACCGAGGATAACCTTCCCTGTTCTGCTCACCTCCCTGCTTGACCATGAGTTCAAATGAGTATCCTGGGTAAGTTATCAAGACAAAAAAATTTCTTCTCCTCTGAGAGACATAGACAGTGAGCACAGTGCCTATCCCAGCACCTCATGCTGAGCCCAAGAACTGAACCTGTGTTAGTTCATTCTGTATTGTTATAAAGAAATATCTGAGACTTGCGTAATTTATGAAGAAAAGAGGTTTGTTTTGGCTCACGGTTCCGCGGGCTGTACAAGAAGCATGATGCTGGCATCTGCTTCTGGTGAGGCCCCAGGAAACTTCCAATCACGGTAGAAAGCAATCAGGGAAGGCCAGACATGGTGGCTCATACCTGTAATCCAAGCACTTTGGAGGCCAAGGTGGGCGGATCACCTGAGGTTGGGAGTTCGAGACCAGCCTGACCAACATGGTGAAACCCCGTCTTTCAAAATAATAATAATAATAATATATTTTTTAAAAAAAAGAAGAAAGAAAGCAACCAGGGAAAAGATGTGTGACATGATGACACAGGGAGCAAGAGAGAAAGGGAGCCACACCTGCTCCTTTACCAGCTCAACCAGCTCTTGTGTGAACTAAGAGAGTGAGAACTCATTACTGTGGGGAGGGCACCAAGCCATTCATGAGGGATCCGCCTGCAGATCACCTGCGGTCAGGAGTTCAAGACCAGCTTGGCCAACATGGCGAAACCCTGTTTCTATTAAAAATGCAAAAATTAGCCAGGCATGCCTGTAGTCCCTGCTACTCAGGAGGCTGAGGCAGGAGAATCACTTGAACCTGAGAGGTGGAGGTTACAGTGAGCCGAGATTGTGCCCCTGCACTGCAGCCTGGGCAACTTTATCTCAGAAAAAAAAGGATCCAGCCTCTTGACCCAGACACCTCCCACTAGGCCCACTTCCAACATTGGAGGTCACATTTCAACATGAGATTTTAGAGGGGACAAAACATCCAAACCTTTCTCCAGAATGAGGAGGTCTGGAGAAGTCAAGGGAATGTGATGAGGGTGTGTGTATGTGTGGATGGGTGCATCCTGTGTGTGTGTGTGTGTGTGTGTGTGTGTGTGTGTGTGTATCTTCTGTCCTGGCATTAGAGTCAAGCTTATTGGTGGCACTGCTGCAGGGACTACTATAGGTAGAACTAATTTGAAAATCAAAAATCTAAAATGCTCCAAAATCTGAAATGTTTTGAGCACCGACATGACACCATAGGTGGGAAATTCCACACTTGGCCTCCTGTGACAGGTCACAGTCACAGTGCTGTCAAAACTTTGTTGCATGCACAAAATTATTTCAAATATTATGTTTAAAATTACCTTGAGGCAGTGTGATACAGCATATATGAAACGTGGACAAATTTCCTTTTTAGACTTGGTCCCATTCCTAAGATATCTCATTATGTATATGCAAATATTCCAAAATCCAGAACAATTTGAAATCCAAAAAACTTCTGGTCTCAAGCATTTCAGATAAAAGATACTCAACCCATATTCCCTTCCCTCATCCTGTAGTCTTTTTAAATCTGATAAGATGCCTGGTGGCCGTGGGAATAGCACAGTGCTCCCTTGACATGTAAGAAAGTGGCTGGAGAGGTCGTCTGTATTTGGAGCTGTAGGGATTATAGATAAGTTTACACACTTTATGGATCAGTTAGCCTGTGATGTTGGCCAGGAGACAGATGCAGAAACAGCAATTAGAATATGCCACACGCTGCAGTAGCAGGCAGACAGGGACAGTGGCAGCTGGAAGGATGGTCACTGCACTTGGGGATGTCTGAGCGGAGGAACTGGACAGGCAGAAAACATGTAACGGCATTCCAGGTAGAATGTGGGTTCTTGCGGGCAAGGCATGGCTCTGGAGGAAAACCTCTCACCTATCTGTCCTAGATCAGGAAGAATTTATCCCGGGAGAGGGAAAGAGAGTGCTTATCTTGCTCACACAGATAGACCAGAGGGGAAGGGCAGGTGGCTGGAAAGGCATCGGATGTGGTAACATGGAGGGCTTTTCTTCCGTCTGCATCTTAGAGAATGCTGTGTGCCTCCAGCCATTGTCTAGCCAGTTTAGAAGGGATGGTCAATGATCATTTGAAGTGTATCAGAGAAGTGGTTTGCTCCTCAGTATATTTTTCTATATCGTTAGAGTTCAAGGTATACTTTGAATTCTTTTTTATTCTGATGATTGGTCTGCGTACTCAGTTAATTGGAAAAATACTTTTACCAGCTGAGAAAAGCCATGTTAGTATTCCATAGACTTGCCTACCACCACGTCATCCTGAGTACTTTGCAAAGTCTCCTAACCTCTGTCTTGAGCATGAGTCTCTAGAATCTTCCCAAAAAAGTAAGGAACTTGATTCAGGGCAATGGGAAGAACATAGAACTTTACCCCAGAGCTCTTTGCTCCCTGATGACCCAAGGGAAATCACGTAGACCGTCTCTCATTTTCTTCACCTTTACGCTAGTTCTGGCTGCTTCAAGTGTTGATGCAAGGATAAATGGGACATGGGACAGAAAGTGCTTTGCGAGTGTACCAGGCTCGATGCAGGCAGCGTTTCAGGGTGACACTCTTTGCCAGCATCAATTTCAGCATGGGTTAGACAGGAACCTGCCCCTGGTCTTGGAAGGCACATCCGGACAGTCAGTGTCAGTGAAGGTCAGAGCTGCATCTGATGTGTCTTACTGTGAGGCTTCATTTCCCAGCCATAGCCTCACTTGGTTAGAGCACCAGGAGGTGAAGGAACAACGTCCCTCTAATCCTTTTACTGAGTCTGCATAAAGGAGCCCAGACGTTCTCCTGGCCCCTTCTGGACCATCCCCACTCCTTCAGGTCCGGGGATAGCTAGGGGTTTGGAGAGCCTGGAGCCTGGTGCCTGCACCTCACACCTGTCTCTGCTCCCAAGAACTGCAGCAGCTTTGGGCTGGAGGGACACCCTCCACTGTGCCTGCCTGGGACACTCTGAAACCGTGCTCCCTGGCTCCGGCACCCCGCCTCTCTGAGTCTCTGATCTGCGCTGCAGTTAGAAACCCTGCCTAGAGTTGGATCCACTGAACAATAATTTGGTCGTCACAGCAGGTACTTCCTTGCTTTTCCATTCCTGCCAGAATTGGGTGTGTTTTGGTGCCCCAGGGCAGCAAATTGGTAGAGCAGCAGGAATGAGGAGCTACCAGTCCAGCCCCAGGAATTTACTGGTCATTGTTTCTGTCTCGGCTCTGCCCCGACAGACTTCCGTTCGTTTAATGATCAGAGGCTTCGTGTGGTCCAGGGTCCCCAGGAGGGGGTAGGGAGGGATGTTTCTAAAGCTGAGCCAGGATGAAAGTGATGCACTATTGAAGGGTTTCAACTCTAAGGAGGCTACATCCTCATTAGGAACAAATTCATTAATGAGCCGCATCAGCTGCAGGGAGGAAGGAGGAAAGCATAATTAATTACAACTGCTCAGATGAGCTGCCAGATTCAGAGGAGTCAAGAAGGAAGATTGTGTGTTGTTTGGATGTCTTTAGCTGTGTTCCTTCAAAGCAATGGCAGCTCTGGGAACTAACTTTCCAGCTGAAGGATTTTAACGTTCTTTCTCTTTCTACAAGATCCAGTCTTAGCTTATTGAGCAGTGAATTCCTTTCTTACCCCACTCACCTATTCCCGGGAGCAAAAAGGAAGTCAGTATTTGCTTTTCCAGCAAGGTCACAGATCACCTGACCAACTCCTTTAACAGCTGCGAAACAGACTCGGCTGTGCTGAAGGCAGGAGAGTGATCGGCTCCGGCCCTGCAGCCCAAAGCTGGCTTTCTGGGAAGGAGACGAGTCCTCCCTGCTGTGGGCTGTGCAGGGGGATGATGCCATGGAAGGTAATGTGGGCACAGCATTCCTCCCAACTATTTTATCTTCTTCTTGAAGCTCCAGATTCAGCTGCTGCAATGCAGACGAAAATGACAGACACTTGCAAAAAACGTGGGAATGGAGTTAGTGAGATTGTGTTAATGTGTCATTTATTGAGCAGGAGTTATCTCTTTGTGTCTCCGGTTGGCAGGATGTGAGCCCGCTGGAGAACTTGGTTAGCAGAATCTTTCTCAGTACTTCTCACCTCCCCTGGTGTCCCAGCTTCGGCCCTCTCAATGTTTAAAGCAGCGGTCAGATGCTTCCTGCTTCTTAGCACGGGGAATGTTTATGCTTGAAAGGCTGAGGTCCTGGGATGGGGAAACAGGAAGCTCTCTTCATCTTGGCATGATCAGTCTGAGGTACGGGTGATTTTTTTTCCTCTTTTGGAAAGAATGCTTTGTCTTTGCAAAGGGCTGGCAGGGTTGTTGTTTGGTGTGCTACCTTGCTAAATACTTGACTTTGTAAGGTTGAATTCTCCAAGAATTCTCGTGGCAATGAGGCTGAGACTTGATCCAAGCTCTCTTTTCAAGGAAATCCAAGGTGCTATTTATTTTGGCATGCAGCCTGCTCTGGGATGAAATACCACATTTTTATTATTGCAGAATAAAAAGAGGGTTGAAAAGAACAAAAGTGCAGACCAGGTTTGTTTCAAGACTAAGTAAGGGAAGGTCTCTTTATATTTGGATTTGAGGTTAGAAATGAGCTTGAAAATGGCATCATAAAAGGAGTAAGTGTGGAGAGGAGAGAGGGTGGGTAAATGTTGCAGGAGTGGGGCTGACCTGGGGAAACCCATGCTCCCAGGCACTGAGGGTGGACCCGGCTGGAACCATTTCCAGCCTGGGCTGGGAGTTGCATGTGAACTATCATCACTGTCTGCCAAGTGACCGGTTCTTTGCTGGATTTTAAATGATCAGCCTTGGTCCTCACCTCTTCACTGCCCCATGGGCTTGGAAAGGCACAGGGGAATGATGGAGTCACACAAGCTATCCTGCTCCTAATTAACTGGGTCACTTTGGATGAGCCACATGGACTCTTTGTGCCTTAATTTCCTCATTTGTAACTTGGACAAGTTCCCGTTTCCTAGGATTGCTTGTATGAGGGTGAAATGAGAAATTATACCCAGTGCTGATTCCCAGTGTAAGAGCTTAGCTCATGTTAATTTCTTTCTATGGGTTTCATTTGAAGACAGACAATCTTGTTCCTTTTGTTTTGTTCATTTAAGAACCATGGACTGTCTGCCATGAGTTAGACACGGGGAGTTTCGGAAACGAAACTTGCAAGAATTCTGAGCTTCGCGAGCTTACAGACCAGTAGGGAGAAGAGCTAGAGAGAAAGCAAGCTATGTATGCCCCAAACATCTAGCATATGGTGAGCTATGGAGAGAGGTTGGTCCCTAACTCCACCATCCCGGCATAGAACAAAAACAAATGAAAAGTAACATCATAACACGAGATAATTAAGGGTCCTGAACACTGGGGATACGACTTAACAGAATAGGTAAGAAATGGCTTTATGGTTGGGTGTAGTGGCTCATTCCTGTAATCCCAGCACTTTGGGAGGCTGAGGCGGGTGGATCACCTGAGGTCAAGAGCTCAAGACTAGCCTGGTCAACATGGTGAAACCCCATTTCTACTAAAAATACAAAATTAGCTGGGCATGGTGGCGCTTGCCTGTAATCCCAGCTACTCAGGAGGTTGAGGCAGGAGAATTGCCTGAACCCGGAGGTGGAGGTTGCAATAAGCTGAGATTGCACCATTGCACTCCAGCCTGGGTGACAGT